GGGCTGGCCGCACGCCGAGGCGTCAAGTTCACTGAACCTCAGGTACATTGTTTGTTACTTTACGATTGGATGTTTTGTGGGTTGTTTTGATTTTGTAGTAGTTTGTTGTTTAATGTGATAATTAATGGTATTTAAGGGTGTAATTTTGGGTGTTTTGGTTTGATGGATTTGGCATTTGGGGCTATTGGACAATTTCGTCTTGTTTTTTAGCTTTTGGGTGCGTTGTGCTTTTTCTTAATCTTGTTTGTTTAACTAAGTCTTTTTGAGGTTGTGCATATGTTGATCTTTTTTTTTCTTTTTTTTTTAATTTGCTTGTGAGCTTTGATGTTACTTCAAGCCATGTCCAAGGCTACAGGGTCCAATTACCTCGTAGTTTACATGTCCATTTGTGCTGTTATGATGCATAGAGGTTTCATATGCTCAACATGATGTTTTGTAGTATTTTGGGTTTGAAGATTTATGGGAAGTTCAAACTTTACATCACAACATGTATGAATATAGAAAATCCCCGTAATTAACTTTCATTTTTTGGGAAGACTGATCAACTTTTCATCTTGGAAATGAATAAATGCAAAAAGAAAAGATGCCAACTCTAAGATTTGGTAATGTTTATGGCATGAGATAATTTGATTATTTAGTCACTTCTCTAATGTTTAACACTTTGGCTTTGTTTAGTTGAATTTTTCATTTCTGAAAGCTCATTGGAAAAGTAAATGTGCATGCACATCTTCAATTATTTGTCAATGTCAAAAGTATTAATCAAAACAATATTAATCAAAACAATGATAGTTAATGGATACTGAACTAAAAGTAGGTTACCCAGAATTTTAGTTATTTTCATTCAATACATGCTTGTGTTCAGTTTTGCTATTTACATTAGGAAAGTCCAACCTACTTATAGTTATTTTCATTCAATATATGCTTGTGTTCAGTTTTGCTATTTACATAGGAAAGATTCAGGGCTTCATATTATTGGCTGAAATGCCAGCCCAAATGAGATGCTTCCCAAGGATAGAAACTTAGTTATAATGCATGGCTCAAGTAGCATCAAAGTAACCATTTTTCATATCAGGCCTTTAATAGCATATGGAGTTTTTTTGTTTATTTTCTATGCCCTGGAGTTTGACACCATGGTAATGTATCATATAACTGACTGGTGCATTTTTTGATTTATTCCCTTTGGCAGATAAAGTGCTACATGAAGCAGTTGTTATCCGGGATTGAGCATTGCCACAACCATGGTGTTTTACACCGTGATATCAAGGGTTCCAATCTCCTTATAGATAATGAAGGAATTCTAAAAATTGCTGATTTTGGACTGGCTACTTTCTATGATCCTGATCGCAAGGTTCCTATGACCAGTCGAGTTGTCACCCTCTGGTACCGCGCCCCTGAACTTCTTCTTGGGGCCACTAGTTATGGTGTTGGTGTTGACCTCTGGAGTGCCGGCTGCATTTTGGCAGAGCTGCTTGCTGGGAAGCCAATAATGCCTGGACGGACAGAGGTATTATTTTTACTTGCATACCAGGTTTCAAGATCTGCATGCAAATTCATTTGTTCTGGTTGAATGATGAAGTTGTTACTGCTGGAATCTTTACACTATTTCAACTCTTCATCTGGGCTCCAAACTATTAGTTTAGATGTGCAATGATGCCCTAATTAAAACAAGGCAGTGATGTTGAGCCCTATGCTCAAACATGGGAACTAGGTGAGAGGCAGCAGGATCAGTAAGATTTAAGGAATAATCCCTACCATATTAATCATCTTGGGTTGTATGGTAATATAGAATAATATGGTATTCTGGTTTATTCTATTTAGATGCTGAAAATATTGTTAGGGAGTCGATAGCGAGTAATCTAATGCCTGGATAAATATGCAGTCATCTGATCTACAAACCATGGAAAAACCCTGTGTTATCATGAAACGTTAAGCATAGCAGGTTAATTAAGTACAACTTCAGTGATTGTATCTTGCATTATATTGGTTTCGGAGCATGTATTGCTTTTATTGACTAGTCTGATCATCTCAACCATTGTCGTTTCCACTGATGATATTGTTGTGTAAGCTATATTCTCTTTCAGTTGGCGGACTCACCGTTTACAGTTGATTTTCTTTTCAATTCTTTCCCTGCTTAGGTTGAACAACTGCACAAGATATTTAAGTTATGTGGTTCCCCATCTGAGGAATATTGGAAGAAATCCAAATTGCCAAATGCAACTCTTTTTAAACCACAGCAGCCTTACAAACGATGTATAGTAGAAACCTTCAAAGATTTCCCCACTTCTGCTCTGCCTTTAATTGAAACCCTTCTTTCGGTCGATCCTGATGATCGAGTCACTGCCACTGCAGCTCTAAATAGTGAAGTGAGTGATTTTAACTCAATTATTTGCCAATCTAGCTTTTATATATTAAAAGATGGCTTTATGTTTTGCAAGCTTCAGACTGATATTTATTGTTTGACACAAGGACTTGGGTGAGGTATTCTTACTTCTCCACAAGTCTTTATTTTCCTTGAACTTATTTATGGATTGATATATGTTTTTGGAGTGTAATCACGTCGTTGGTTTTCATACTACAGTTCTTCACCACTGAACCTTATCCATGTGAGCCGTCGAGTTTGCCTAAATATCCTCCTAGTAAAGAATTGGATGTGAAGTTGAGAGATGAAGAAGCAAGAAGGTTTGTTTATTCTTCATTCTTGTCTACCTTTTTTTGTTTTTGTTTTGGACCAGTATAATGGCCATGCGAGATCTTTATTTATCTAATTTCCTTCTCAGGCAAAGGGGCGTTGGTGGAAAAGGTAATGCTGTTGACGGTGCAAGAAAAACAAGATTTCGTGATCGGGCTGGTTGGGCAATCCCAGCTCCAGAGGCCAATGCAGAGAATCCAGCAAACCTAGATGTATGTGAAGGACTTTCTCTTGTTACCCTCAATATTATTTGTTTTTCTATTTAGCTTCTCTTTTTTGCTACAAGACAGCAAATACCCAGCCACCCCCGAATCCACCAATCTTTATGTCACATGTTCATTATGTGTCATTTCATCCTTGATGAGTGTGCTTCCTGGGTTCTAAGCCGTATCTCTGTAGTCTTGTTGGGCAAGTCTAATTTTGAGAATTCTTTTGTGATCTCTTTTTAGTTTACCGCTCTTTCCCTATCATTAGAAAACTGTGGTTGGTCACAGGTCCTTGTTACATGGTGAAATCCAGTTTGGATTAGGTATCTTAGGTCAATAGTTGTCAAATCAACTGGTCAGAATTGTCAACTGGTTAGGCCCTTCACTTCATGACCATACGTTCTCTACTCTCTTCTTGTGTTTTTCAAAGCATAGTTTGACTTGAGATTTTCATTTGTTATCCAGAGATGGAGGGCCATGACACAAGCAAACGCTAAGAGCAAGAGCGAGAAATTTCCACCTCCTCATCAGGATGCAGCAGTTGGACATCCTATGGATGCATCACATAAAGGTGGCCTTGTTTCATTTGGTACATCAGATACTTCATTCTGTTCATCAACATTCGATTCAAAATCATCTTCTATTAAAAGTGCTGGCGCCATTGGAGGTCCTTCCAGAAGAAGGAAAACCAATAAAGATGATCAGATGGCTCCACCACGGAAATTTATCCGTCCATTCAATCCATCATCAGTAGCCCTATCAATGAATCTGCTATTCAAGGGTAAATCAGAGGTTTTTGGTAATAGGAGGTAGCAACTATTATGAAAGTTTTCCTTTCGGATCAGGTTCTTACTTTTCATTTTATTTCTTAAATGCTTTTTGTTGTTGTTCTGCAATCATTGCTTCCATTAATTTTATCTCATTGTATGAAGTGTATAATCTACACAGAGGCCATGGTGAGCCAGTGAGTAATCCACTCCCTACATTTCTTGTACAGTTTTTGAAAGCGGGCGCTTTATAAGCTAAAGATTAGACGTCTTCTTCCTCATTCATTTCTATCAACTGTAAACCTCGACTCATCCATAGATATTCTGCACCTTAGAGCTTCATAGTTTGAGGACGTCTTGCACTCGGATTTTAGTTTTCTCTATAATGAGCAACATTAGGTAGGAAAGTCATGGAGTAAACAGCCTTAGTTTTTTTTTTTCGCCTTGTTTGTGGGGAAATATTTTTAGCGTTCCAAGAGAATCCATCGTTCTATATTATATCTATTAAAATTGAGTACGTGTATTAATTAACAATCACATATTAATGTTAATGTGATTTTCATTTAATTTTTTATATACTATTTTCATTTTCCCAAATCACATAAATTATTTTTTAATTCTAATATGATTTCCAATCAATATGTGGCTCAATTTAAATTGATAAGGTACTCAATTTAAATAAATAAATACAGAGAATACGAAATCCATTGCCATTTTTATTCTTGTTAACTTTTATACCAATCTCCATATTTTTTCTTATGATTGTTAGTCTAAATTTGTACATGATCAATTAAAGGCAAGATTTTAAGTAAAAAATATATCTGCCTGATGGTAGAATTAATGTTCTTTTATTTGATGATAGAGTTTATATATATATAAAATACATGAAATAATTCCTTAATTGAAACCAATTCTTCTATTGATCAGAAAATGATAAAAAATATTTATTTTAATTATTTTCTTAACACGAATTTTGATGAAAGATTTGATTTTTGACCTTTTTAATTTATGATTCTAAGGATAAATTTTATCTTTTCACGTGTAATTTTAATTTTTAAAGTTATAAAGCAATGATATCAAATATCAAGGTGCCATTTCCTTCCTCCTAAATTTCTCCTCTCTCCTCCAATAATGAGCTCTGCTCCGCTGACATGATCCTGAAATTTAATGGAGCCCCTTACCTCTCTCTTCTCAACTGGCAAGTCGTCCTGTGCCCAGATTTCTCTGCCAGACATCTTGAAATTGAACACACGGGTCTGTCCGAAAGTGGAGATGATTTTAAAGTTGATTTTTGTTTAAAAATATATTAAAATAATAAAAATATTTTTTTAAAAAATTATTTAAACAATATAAAATATATAAAACAGTTTACATTCACTCTCACAACTCTTCTCTCAACCATGTGTAAGCCAAGCCGACCTGACCTGAACTCTCTAACGCAGCGTTACCTTCTTCTCCTAATCCAGCTCCGGCCCTGCATCCAGACCTGACCTGAACTCTCTAATGCAGCTTTACCTTCTTCTCCGGATCCAGCTCCGGCCCTGCATCCAGACCTGACCTGAACTCTCTAACCCAGCTTCACCTCCTTCCAGCTCTGGCCCTTCATCCAGATCCACCTCAAGTAATAGCTTCAGCTTGGGCTCTAGTTTGTTCATAACCCACTCCATCTCCCGTTCCGCTGGCTGTTTCGTTTCTCTTTAAATTCTGAAACATTTCAGCGCTCCATTCTGATGGAATGGACTGTTCATATAAAATATATATTTCATCAGACAATAGATTCCTATTCCTTAATCAAGCAATTATTGAACAATGTCATCCTATACACACATCTCTCTCAATAAAAAAAAATAAAAATAGTAAAATACAAAAAGATGGCTGTTTGGTCACTCCATGAAATGAACCCTCTGTCGAACACATAAATTCTGCTTGTGTAACATTGATTTGTTGTACAGGAAAATATTTAGATCTTCATGAACTTCCAGTACAGGAGATAAGATATTCTATAAGAATATCAATGAATAAACAAATATAGTATGATGCTGAAAAAAAGTATATTAAGAAAATGGGAATACAAAGGAAACAAAAATTACTTCCAGATGAAAAGTAAAGGGGAGAGCAAGAAATTGTGTTAATAAAATATGCAAAAAAGAGTTGAGTTCTATTGCCTTCTACCATTTCTTCTGAAAGGAAACAAAAATCTAAAAAAAAAAAACTCTCCTGCAGACAAGTGGGTAGGACATGCAGGAAAAATAATCTGCTGCCATAATCCAGAATGAAGCTACCAATCAGCGAGCTGATCAACTTTCAAACAGAAAATGCCACTCAGGTTCAGAATCCCAAACATTAAGATTGAGCATTTCAGTTCTATTGATAATACAAACATTTCAGCCCCCACAAGAAATCTTATTCTTCTAACTTCCTCTCTCTCTTTTTTCCTGTTTGTTTCCTAAGAAAATGGGAAAACAAAACAAAAAATTTCAGAAACCTTCAAGATACAAACATTTTAGGCCCCCAAAAAAAAAATCTCAATCAGAAACTAACCCAATAAAAAATCCATTACAAAAAAAAAACACTCAAAACCCAAACTTCGAACAGAAAAGCAAAACCATAAAAGCTTTCACTTGTTTTCCTCTAATTGCTTTGGTAAAGAGAAATACTTTCAGAAACGAGAGACTTACGAGTAGTTGTAGTAGAGGAAACGGAACCGGAGACGGAGTGGGGTTATGAACTGGAGGCGTATCTGGATGTGGAGCCAAAGCAGGAGTAATACAAGGATGTACAGTCGGAGGAGGAGGTGAAGCTGGGCTAGGGAGTTCGAGTCAGGTCAGATTATCCACGGTTGAAAAGGGTTTTGAAAGTGGATGCGATCTGTTTTGTGTGTCTGGTCTGTCAGATACAATATGCTTGGAATTGCCTTGTGTTATATAGTGTTTTCAGAGGGGTTAGAGGTGTGTTCTCTACGTTAGCTGGCAGAAAAAGAGGAGTGCAAGAGGAACAACATAAAAGAGCAAAAGGGACGCTCACAAGCCTTCCAGTCTTAAATTTCAAAACAAGAGAAAGAGACAGACTTGCCAGTCGAGAAGAGAGAGGTGAGGGGTTGCATTAAACTTCAAGATGGCTGGCAGAGGAAGAGTGATACAAAAGAAATAAGATCATGTCAGCAGAGCAGGTGTGTCCTGAATATGTAACTTTGGCCCAGAGCTTATTCTTCGAAATAGGCAACTTCGGGGAGAAGTAAAGAGAAATTTACGAGAAAGGAAATTTCATTTTTTTTTATTTATTAAGCGGTCGAAGTAGATTTTGAATATCTTAATTAATTTCATGAATTTTTTATTTTAAAATTAATAATTTTTTAATTTTTTAATAACTTTATAAGATCTCAAATTCATAATTATTAAGAAATAAATTTAAAACTTCACCAATTAAACTACTATTTAAATTAAAAAAATCATATTTTATCCTTGATAATTGATATTATAGCTTTATAACTTTTTAAAATCAAATCAAAGTTATTTTTAGAATCATAAATTAAAAAGGTCAAAAATCAAATCTTTTTCATCGAATCAAAATTTTCACTCAATTGTTCCAACGAAAATGAAGTACTTTGAACTGTTTCCTTTCTGAGTCACTGGAACAAAAATGTTAGAAACTCAAGACAGACCCATGAACAGACATATGATTAATAACTATTCAACAACCTTTGCCTTTTGTGCATGTGCCTATGATCAGGATGATTTCAGTCTAGCCACGTGCATGCTGCATCTATATATGCCTTGAAATATATCCTATATCAGTCCCTCTCCATTTCCAGAAATTTTTTAATTGAAAATTAAAAAAACACGCTCTTTATCATTTCTGCCAAGTGCAAGATTAACTGTTCTTAGTAGCTTGAATTGTCTCAGCATATGTTAAAGAAAATATAACAAATGAGCAGTTAAATTAGAAATGGGAAAACAGGATATGAAAACTCACCTCATCTTCAGTTTCCTCTAATAATCTGTCCCAATTTAAACATATGGATTAGACTTGGTAAACCATGCATTAACTAATTAAGCAGATCGTTGTATTTATTAATATTTCTTTGGATTCTTTTAAGTTTTCTATATGTTATCGTTAATCAGTGTTGTTTTTCCTTTGAAGCTCTGGAAGCATCAGCACTATGGCATGTATCAACATTGAGCATGATGTGATGATACCAAAAAATGAATCTATCTAGACGTGTAGCGGATGAAACAGGAGAGATATTTTGATCAGGCAAGAGCTTCTTGATCTACTGCAACAGTGGACCTCCATTTCTGTCAATTTTCTTAAACCCTCATTAACGGATCACAGGAGCACAAGTTGTTTCCACATAAAGATTGAATAGTTTCTCTCATAAATCAACCCCACCAGTTTTCTCAAGGTTGCTGCAAATAGATGAGTGTTGGGATGGTCCAATACAAGGTTGCTGCAAATAGATGAGTCTTATTGCACCTGCAATAAACACCCTGTAAAAAAAAAAATCTGTTGAGGATCACATGATAAGCAGATAGCTGTGTGTAATTTATGTAGTAGTTTGTTTGAAATTGTCCAAGCTATGAGGTTGGATAATTCTTCTATGTTGGCGAAAAGCCAGAGTCAAAATCACAGGTCAATGAAACCATACCTCACATGCTAGTTCACATTCTGACCAATTTCTTAAAAGTCATTTCCCCACCTTCTACTCAAACCATTTTAGCCATGTTTTCCCCACCTTACTTTTTTTTTTTTGCTGACAATTTAGTTTTGTTTGATTTTTATCCCGAAAAGACTAAACTCGAAACATCTCGGCCGGAATGTGGATAAAAAATCTAGAATGACCTGAAATTTTAATTGATATAACATTTATTTCAGTCTGTACTATTTTTTATAATGATACTAGATATACGGCAATTTCGGCCGGAACAAAAAAGAATAGATAACTTCAAAAAATATTTCTCATTCTCAAAGCAATTAGAGAAAAAAAGGTGAGACCATTTATGGGTTTTCATTTCTGTTTTAAAGTTTGAGTTTCGTGTGTTTTTTGTTTTGGATTTTTGTAATAGGATTCTGATTGGGTTAGTTTTTTCTTTTGTTTTCCCATTTTCTTAGGAAACAAACAGAAAAAAAGAGAGTTAGAAGAATAAAATTTCTCTCTGGTGCATTTTTGGTTATTTAATTTTATTCGTTTAATGTGTTCTGAATCAATTTTAAAAAGGATTAGTATATTTCTCTTAAAAAAAGAATCACTCCTTGTTTCTTCTTCTTCTTCTTTTTTGTGACGGGGGCAGTGTTTTTTTGTAGTAATTATATATTGTAGGGTTTTAGTCCCCGATAGTGCTAATTTCTCTACTTGAACACATTGTGATAAAACAAGAAGAACGCATGTTCTTAGAGTAATAAATTTCTCTACTTGACCATGAAGAGAAATTATTTAATGATCCTGGGATTATGGTGAGACGTGCATGTGTGTATATGCTGCCATTATTGAATAATTGCTTGATTAAGGAATAAGCATCGATTGCTTGCTGTAAAATCTGTTCCACTGTGTTTAGTAAGGGTTCTCGCTCTGCTATTATTGGCAATGTAAATTTAATTAGCTGTCGTACTTGAATCCTATGATTTTCGTCTCAGCAATGTCATGGAATTTACTGCAGAAGCTAGCAGATGGCCTTGTGCCATCAAGCAGATGACTTGCAAATGCATGAGTAAAGAACAAATCACATCAAATCAAAGCCAGGCTACAAAATCATTTGATTCTTTCTAGCATAGTTGTTAAATCCAGTCAGTCGGCTCGTCCTGAAAAACTCAGCACTGCAGTTTCATTGAACTCTATGCCTCCAATATAGCATGAGAAAAAACACTTAAGGGCATTGTAGAACACCATCATGTACTTTTCGTCTGTATGCTGCACGAGATCACGCCATCATAGTAGATCTGATTCAGCTCCTTCCTCCATGTTCAAGTCCAAGTTCAAGTTAGTTTTGTAAAAGTGGAGACTTCTGTTTGATCTATGGTGTGATTTTCATCCTATAACATGATGTCTTTTAAAATAATGTTTGATGCTCGACATTATTTTTATATTGCATTAGTTGAAGTTAATTTAATTTTAGAGTTGAATTGGAATAATATATGTTGACTGAATTATAAATATAGTAAACTGAAAGTATATAATAAAATTTGAAATTAATTAATTTAAATATTGGAGTTAATGTTAAATAAAATCCTTCATTTGATGGTTACTGTAATCTTTGGAAGGATTGGAGAAGTTTAGGACATCCATTGACACATGATGAGTGCTGTAATCTCTGGAAGGATGGCAGCCTCCTGTTTTTTTCCATTGCTTCATCCAGCACTATTCATCTGCCTAAGCGAATTTTGTTTTGTTAATAATCTATAATTGTCTGAGCTATTGGATCAATGCAAGAGAGGATCAGTTGTTAGGCTGATTCAGCTAGTGTGCTGTCTAATGAAATCTGGCTATTTTTTATGCTTTGTTAACTCTGCAGCTGTACGCATGGTCATTTGAATATATATTCTGATTAGGGTTTTTTTTTTTAATTATTATTCTGCCTCTGTATGAAAAACAATAATAACAAAGAGAGAAATTTTTTCAATAGAGTTTTCGTATCAATCCATTGTTATAATTTTAAAATCTAGTTTGATTCCACAAGTTGACTCGGGATCTGATTTTAAAACTTAGTCTAACTTGATAATTTCACTCAGGACTTATTCATTTAGAGTTTTTATCGAGTTTTATACATAGAAAACCAAAGTAGTAATTGACCTAGTTAGAACAAGGTGACCTACCGTGTCAACTTAAAACCAACTTCTTGTGTCTCTTTTCCGGTAAGTTGCATGGCATCGTGTGCCTTTTCCAGTGTATTTGTAGGATTTGGTGTCTTTCTTTGGTTGCAGATCTCACAAACATATCATAAACATAGGGATACAATCCTTGTATCGATCTGGATTTTTGTTTTAAAACAAACAAAAGAAAAAAGAGGAATCAAGATGAATATTGGAATAAACAATAAAATCCACGAATTGAATTGAAAAAAATAAAAAGATGAAGACAAAGAAGTGAAATGAATACACAAAAGATAAAGAGTAGCACCTGGTGTGTGTGCGCATCTCTTTTCCACTAGAGAGTTATCTATATATATGTTCTTATGCCATCAAAATCAAAATTGTTTAGGCAATTGGCAGTTCTCCTGTTGTATTGGATGCTATAATTATTATATCTTATTTATAGAATTTGTTTTGAAGGATAAAATAAAATTTTAAAGAATTGACACTGTTTTAAAGAATACTTAGTAAATAACATAGTTTAATATATATGCTATATATTTTAAATCATTATTTTAAATCACAATTTTAATCAACACAACTTGTCTTATATCATTTAAGGAAAAAGCAAAGTATTTGATACTGAAGTCTTATATCATTTAACAACAAAGCAAAGAGTTTATGAAAAATTATATGTGTTAATATGCACATGAATAATTATTTGTTTGTAATAAGAGCATGGGAAAAAGGATGGTTGAGTCAACTTCTAGTGCTAGTAACGTGCATGGAGTTGCAAATGATAACAATAATCCTTACAAGAATATGATCATGGATGCAGTGAGAATGAATTAAAGAATGTCAGTCAATGTCCAATCATAAAAAAAAACCCTAATGTAGATGCACCTATGTTTTTCATCTGTTGAAAGATTATGAGAAACCATTATGGGATGCCTGCACGGACCATAGTAAATTATTGGTCATAGTATAGGTGTTTACCATCAAGTCAAATTAAGGGTTGAGTGAGGTTGGTTATGACAAAATTATCGAATGGACGAGAAGCATTTTACCTAAAGGGAACAGGCTGAAAGAAAACTTTTATATTGCAAAGTCTACGATGAAACCCTTTAGTTTAGAATACCAGAAAATTAACATGTGCCCTAACTTCTACATGTTATAGTACCTTGAAAATGCCGAGTTGATCGAGTGCATGACATATGGGCATTCCCGGTACAAACATAGAACTGGCAGGGAAAAGAATCTCATGACATATAAAAAACTTAGATACTTCCTAATTACATCTAGATTGTAAATGTTATTCATGTCATTAATGACTATTGAGCATATGACATGACATCAATTACATGATGTGGTTGATAGAGTGATTATGCATCCTTTTGACAGCGAAACATGAAAACACTTTAATACTGTACATCCTCACTTTTTAGC